CTTTACAAACGCCGCTATTGTCTGTGTATTTAGCAATATTTTTCTTTACAAACGCCGCTATTGACTGTATTTAGCAACGTTATTCTTTACAAACGCCGCTATTGACTGTATATTTAGTGACATTTGTAATTAAAAACGCCGCAAATAAGCCCATTATTAATGGCATTTTCATATAAAAACGTCGCAAATCACACTATTAGGAGTAGTTGCATAAAACAGAACTATACACATTAGTTCACCTCTAGGCATGACAACACTGACAATCAAAATAATAGAGTAATACTTCAATAAATTAGGAGCTATTAGTAAAGGCATACCGAATAATGAGAAATTAGAAACAAAACAGAAAACAAAATCCTTGATTCAAATGAGTTTAGAAACATATAGGCATGTTGACTCTCCAACTGCACGCTGACTCTCTTTGAGCTTGATCTGCAGTTCTTGCTGCAAATCCAAGCTTATTTTTCATCTTTGCTATGCTTATATAAACCTGTGCCATTATAATTTGATCCCTCATCAAGAGCAATGTGGAATTTGAATTATCATTCTCAAATTATCTCCTCCATATGTTGTATCTTCTCAGAACAGCAGAGTCCACAGCTTTGGATCGCTCAATGGCAGCATTTTCAAGTTTCAAATCCCTGGGACCTTAGGAACTTGTAAACATGCCCACGTTTGCTTCCGTTCCAGTCACTACAAGAACGGATAAAATTATACAAAACAGATGAGAATGTGCTGCTCTGAGGAAATCATCAAACAACAACACTAAACATTACGCTTACCCGCAGAGTATGACAGGTGCTTGGTTGAGTTTATGTTCTCTCTGATATGTTTCATTGACTGCTACTTGTAATTTAAAATCCTAAAGTACCCATTGTGTACAACAATCAACAAACCTGTGGAAGTAAAAGAAAATATAAAATCTCATGACTGTTATTTGTAACTAGTGAATACTTTTAAAAAGAACTAGAATCAAAACAAAACATCAAGTAGTGAAGAAATTGAATTTAAATCTTTCAGGAAGGTCTGTACACGATATAAGGATTGTAAACAGCCTAAAAGATATCCCCATCGTCTTCCCCATCACTAGCAACTGAAAAGATGAGAAAATATGTGAACTATAAAGGAGCCGAATTTGGCCCCCAAAAGGTGAGAAAATGGTCATTCTTCGGTTAACGCTTTCGATAGGAAATGAGCCAAATAGAAGGCTCAAAGACTAAAGGTCATATGAGTTGGACATGAACCACCAAACTGGAGAATAGCAACTAACATCACAATTTTTTATACCGAACATGGGGTTCTCTAACGGTTTTTAGTCTATTTAAGTTTAATCTACTTATAGTGAAGAAAACATATAAGAACGCCCTATTAATCTACGCCGTTTGCATTAAAAATTCTTAAAAAATGTCTACGTCATGGGAATAAATGAGTTAAACGAGCATGTACCATCTCCTCGGTTATTGGTTCTTGCAAGCTTAAATGTGTTATAGCCGGCAGCACCGGTGTTATAGCCGACAGCACCGAGCCTTTGTTCATACATTTGCACCAATTCTTCATTTCCAACCCAAAATTCCTATCATCGAACCAAAAAACCACAACAAAGATAAGGCTTATATCATCATATTTGAAATTAAGATTGTGCCTAAAAAAACTGTTAATAGAAGATAAGGGCACATGAAACCCACCTTAAGACATATAATGGAAGAGCTTTCGTACATCAGCCAATCAACTATCCTCTCATTTCTAGTTAACCAAAATGTTCTAAAATCACTTTCACGTACGCTCTGATTATGTTCCATAAAAAAATGAAAATTAGCAGAATTTACAAACGGAAACAAATCAATGAAAGAGAGGAAGAAGACATCACCTGCTGGTCCAAGCGCTTGTAGATAGGAGCCAGGATGTTGAAGGTGGTACAAGAAACACAAGGTCCGAGATGGATGAAGCAAATTTACCACTTTTAGTCCTCAAAATCGTTCCTTTAAAAGGAACATACTCGTTTTTACTTGAATTAATATTAGCAAATTTAGGGTCTTTAAGTAAACTGGCCAACATCACCTGTTTCAAAAAAAACATCAACAAGACATCAAAATCGAAAGAGAAACAAAACCCAAAGTACCAAATTGCCATATACCATTTCAAAATTTTGCCGCCTAAGATTCCTGTGCTTGTTGTTGTCGTAAGCAAGTAGAATAGGGAAAAGGGGGAAAATGTTCCTTTCTTCTTTTTTTGGTTCAGAAAGGGTGGTTGAATTGAAGTTTAGATTTTTCAAGGCTTGTGGACAAAGGCAGATGCAGGTGAAGAGTAATGAATTTATATGGTGGGGATTATTTTTAATTTGTTTCCACAAAAGTTATGGAAACAATCACTCATAAACAAACCGATCTAAACAATTCCGTTCGAAAATAATGAAAATTAAAAGAAACAAAGATTTACAAACGGAAATAAAAATTGGGATAAAACAATTATTGATATTTTGATGACGAAGGAATCAAACCTTTTCGAAGAGCCGCTTTTGAGTTGAAATGAAATAGATGACGATGAATGGGAAATTACAGAGGAATTTGGAATTTTATAGCAGAAACCAAGGGCTTGTTTTTAGTTTAGGGTTTCTCTTATGGCCGTTGGATTTTAATGGTCCTTGATTCAACGATTGCTAATTAAGTTTGCCACGTCGGATGTTCACACTTGATGATGTTGCCGTGGGTAGCACTAACACTGAGGCATTTTATTCAACAAAGGCACCATTTAAACAAACAATTTTTTCGTATTATTTCCATAAATTTTAGTCATAAAAATCGTATTAAATTTACAAATGCTATAAAATAGTTGTTATAATATTATAACAAGTATAATATTTTTGATAAATTTAATGTTTATTTTATAATAATTTAATGTTTATTTTATAATAATTTAATAAAATTTAATAATCATTAATAATAAATTGATTAATTTAAAAAATATTTGATAATTATTTAAAGGTATTTAATAACATTTAATATACTTTAATCGATATGTCAGATCATGTTATGTTTCTTATGTTGATGGTGGAAAAAAGTTTGTTAAATATATTTATAAAAATATATGTCTATCTTTTAAATTTTACAATCATCTTGACCATTAAACACAACACTCATTATATTCAAAATCTTCTTTCAAATCCCAGAGTTGTTCAATAGTCCTAAATGCATCATAAGTAGAGTGTACAAATCCAAAAGTAACCCAAAAGAATGAATTAATTGATATATTTCGAAATTAATTTTCTCAAAATCGTGTAACTAAAGTAGAACACTTGATCACAAAATTTTCTAACGAAATCACATGTTTGTAAACTTGCGGCATTTGTAAACACAAACGCCACTAAAACACGAGTCTATAGCGGTGTTTGTATAAAAACGCCACTAAATCATGAGTCTATAGCGACGTTTGTAAAAAATGCCACTAAATCACGAGTCTATAGCGGCGTTTGTAACAAACACGCCACTAAAGTATGAGTTTTTAGCGGCGATTGTATAAAAACGCCACTAAAGTACGAGTCTTTAGCGGCGTTTGTATAAAAACGCCACTAAATCATGAGTCTATAGCGGCGTTTGTATAAAAACGCCGTTATAGTAGGAGTCTTTAGCAGTGTTTGTTCTAAAAACGCCGCTACAAACGCCGCTATTAACCCATTTTGCTGTAGTGACAGTTTGAACATGATTATATCCCATTTCAGCATATTAAAAGGATAAAGAAGTGTGGGTAGCTTACATCATCCCATCTGCCCTTCTCATGTGGAGTCTATGGTTTGGACATTTCACAATTGTCTTACATAAACATCAAACCAAACCTAAAAAACATAACATTGTAATGGTGGAAGATTAACTAATGAATTTCAACCAAAGCCATCTTGATTATCCTAAATTTTCTTTTGGAATATCACTTGTGTACAATTAGAATTTACTCTTTTAAAAAGTCATATGAACAACTTTTCATAATAATTGCACACGTCATTTACTCTTTTAACCTTAGGTTTATACAAACTATTTTCTTTATTTACAAATTTAAAAGTGTCATTAACGTGAACCATCGAATAGTCTTGTTAGTAAAAGATAGCGTTATTCTTTTTAGAGGATTCGAGTACAAGAAACTATATATGTACGATTCGTGTGTTGTCGTAGTTTATATTTTCGATCATCAAAAACGAGATAGTTGAAAAGAAGTTGTTTTAGAATTTCAATAATTTTTTGTGAGGTTTTTTTGATATACTGTTTGCACTTAGTGGGATTGGAATCTATACCAAAGAGTCTAATCTTTTTGACACTACGAGTATTATAAAATGATCTCTGTCTCTTTGGAATCCAAAGACAATTTTTGCTCTTTTATCTTCCATCATTTTCATCTGTCTTGGTTCACTCACTTTAAATCCATGTTACCATAGAAAGAATAAATAGCCGGCCAACATTTCATGGTTAAATTTTAAAAATTCCAATATTTTTATATAAAGTAATTCAGTTTAACTTTAAAGATTATCGAATCCATATAATTACGGACACCGAATAACTTAAAAAGGTTTGTTTCTTTTATAGGGGGTCTTCCCCTACATGTAAAAGCTTCCAGTTTTCAAACACTCGGATAGAAGAATGCTTGCAATATAGTTTTTAAAAGGTGAAAAGCTCAATTGGATTTGACGAGACTTCGTCAATCCGTTCAGGTTATGACAAAAATTCATTCATCAAATTAGTACGCTTTGTACAGGTTTGACTTTGAATTTGCGTACACTTGGAGACACCTCTTTCCTTAAGCTACCAATTACCGTGTTAAGTTATGTATTAAATCAATGAAATTTCTTTATTTTTCATTTGCTTCCAGTTTTATTTGAGGGACTTGGGTGTGGTAATATTCTTCTTTAGGGAAGAAATAAAATGGGTGCAACTGTTCTTCCCTGTTCTTTGCATCTTTATACGCAAAAGAGAAAAACCAAACAAGATTTATTTTAAAAGAGAGAGAGAGAGAGAGAGAGAAATAAAAGAAGAGAAGAAAAGGGTCAGAGGGGAATCTGTGTAGCTTTATAGGACTGAAAGATTGAAACTTTTTGGGGTAATCTTGAGATCTTATTTGTTATAGCTTTGGTAGTCTTCATCCGACCTTTGCTGCTGGTTATTGATTTATTTGAGGCGAGTCATTTATCCACTTGGTTTGATTCTTCACCTTTATTTCTTTAAGAACCTGCAATTCAGTCTTTACATGTCCTGAGTTTCATTGTCATCCTGAGCTGGAAAGAACCTGTTTTTTTTCTTCCTCTTTTCTTGCTGTTTGCCTTTATATTCAATTGATCTAGCTAGAAACTTGATGCTTTTCACTCGTTTTTAGCTTAAACATTTTGGGTTTGCACAATGCCAGGTTAGCTATTTTGATTGCAATCATTTATACTCGGTTCACTTGCTTGCATTGGAACCAAATGCAGCTGAACAGATATAATTCGTTGTAGGCGATTGTTCAATATGCATGACCCCCCCCCCAAACCCCCAATCTAATATAAAATAGTTGTCTGCCCAGTTTATGGAGTTATTTTAGCTTTCTTCTCCTCTGGGCTTCTTTAAATGTACTTTGGTTTTGATTTTATTCTCTAGTAATTGTTTTAGCTCAAAAGAGTGATACTTACTGCATTTTCTCAATTATGTTTTTTGCTGCTGTTTACAATCTTCGATATTGGAATGGTGAATCTTTTGCCAAGCTTTGTTCATTGATGATTCTTCAATTAGAAGTATTTTCTTTTGCATGAATTTTGTAACTTCGTTTTTAGCTTATACTTTAAATGTACTGTATATTTTTGGACTTTTATATAGATTTCGTGATACCTATGTTTATATGCTTGAATGTATGTTCTGTATGCAGACGGAAATCTTATTGATTATGAGCGGATAACATTCTGCATTATGAATTGGATTAAAAAAGCTTTTAAGGGGCGTAACCATAAATCTTCGGAGAGACAATATCATGGGCACTATGCTGAGGATAGTCCCTTTTATCCACCTTCCGGCTCAGGGGTATTTACATCTGTTACTGTTTTCCTTTTCTCTTGATTGCTGTTTATATTTTCTCAACATTTTTTTATGGTTTAATCCCATCTGTTTTCTGTAATGCTGCTGGTGCGAAATGCATAAAATCACTAATATCTTTGGCTAAGTTGCATAGTACATATGTGGTCTCAACATTGTTTGAGCTACTTTAGTTAGTGTTTTGAATATACTTTCTATGTTATATCTTGGTCTCAACCTTGAATGTAGGACTCATGGCGGGAGTATGAGAATGAAGAGATAGATCGTGCTATTGCCCTATCCCTTCTTGAGGGAAGTCAGAAGGAGAGAAACGTAAAAGGTGAGTAGCATGTCCACACGATTTTTATGTGAATGTATTTGCCAGCTGTACTTTATGGCATCAGCCAATAGTTCCCAAAATAAATGTTCATTTTCTTCTCTACTTATTCTTATTTTCTAACATTCCACAATTTGAATTATTATGTTTCTCAAATGATCGGTTAGATGATGATTATCGACTTAAAGAAGATGAGCAACTTGCGAGAGCTTTACAAGAAAGCTTTAACTTTGAACCTCCTCCACAATATGAAAATCACAATACATATCAACCTCTGCCAGCCCATTTTCAGATGGGATACAGGTACATGATACGCCATTAATTACAATAATGATTTCATACCAACTCATCTAAATAGGGATGAAATATGAATCTATCTTTGAACTTTTTGTTCCTGCAATATGCTAATATGGGCTTCCATTGGCATCAGCAATGAAGCATTTCATGCAAAGACCTGTTGATATAGCTTATTCCATATCCTTTTTGCTCCCATGACCAAATTATTGTTTTTTTTTTCTTTTGCAGGATTTGTGCTGGCTGCAATACTGAGATTGGTTACGGAAGATTTCTAAATTGCCTCGGTTCATTTTGGCATCCAGAATGCTTCTGTTGCCATGCTTGCAACCTCCCAATTTCTGATTATGAGGTACAAATTTTGGTGGCTACCAATGTTACCATCTTTGGTTCCTTCACTAGACGTTTGATTGATGAATAAGCTAATTTAGATCTGTACTTTCTTCTGTAGTTCTCTATGTCTGGGAATTACCGATTTCATAAATCTTGTTACAAGGAACAGAACCATCCAAAATGCGAAGTCTGCAACCACTTTGTAAGTTCTATTTCCTGCATTGGGTTAATATTCACTTTGTTATAAATTTGTGTTGCTTCTACTTCATTGAACGTGTAAAGTTTTAAAGTCAAAATTATATATGATTTGCTGCTTATTTCAGTGCATTTATTATATATGACAGTTCTTACCTAATAAACCATGAGTGGTTTTTCAGTTCTTACCTAGTAAGAATTTCAAGTGCTAAAACCAAAAACCTGAAGGTCATATGAGCACATATCAATATCTTGTTATAAAGTTTTATGAAAGTGTGGTTTATAGTTGATATCCTTGGATGTAATTCCAAGTTTAGAGATAGAATTTAGTGGAATGGACATTACAAAAGAAACTACAGAATAAGGAAAACCTCTATATCCATAGCATGTCCAAATCTTCTATCCTACAATGTTTTTAAGTAGTTTTGAAAGGAAAAAAAGGTGAATCTAGTGATCTTAAGCATGCCACTCATTTCTTGTTGCTATTGTCTTTTTGGATGAATTCTTTTGACAGATCCCAACAAACCCAGCTGGTCTTATTGAATATAGGGCACATCCTTTTTGGATCCAAAAGTACTGCCCTTCTCATGAACATGACGGTACTCCACGATGCTGCAGCTGTGAGCGAATGGAGGTTAGTATGATGAAACATGCACATATTTCTTAGTGTATTTGAGTTTACAAACTCCATACTATCTCTGAATAATAAGAGTAAAGTTTGACACATTTGCTCAACCTATGCAGCCACTAAACACGGGATATGTGCCCCTTAATGATGGGCGGAAGCTCTGCCTAGAGTGTCTCGATTCTGCAGTTATGGATACCAGGGAATGCCAACCCCTTTATCAGGATATAAAAGAATTTTATGAAGGCTTAAATATGAAAGTTGAGCAGCAAGTTCCATTACTCCTAGTTGAAAGGCAAGCTTTGAATGAAGCCAGAGAGGGAGAAAAGAATGTAAGTTGAAAATTTCTGAAATAATGACATCAAAAATAATATCTAGGAGTGCTCTATGTTATGTTAATATTTCTCTTCAGTCATGTCTAACTGCTATTGAAGCACTTGCCGGCATGCTTCTGCTTCTAGATGTTGTGTCATGGAAATACCATGTTGACTGCTTATTGGAAATACTCACCAGCAGTTGTTTGTTTCGCCTGGATATGATTGCATTCTAAAAGTTTCACCTTGGGCAGGGCCATTATCATATGCCGGAGACGAGAGGACTCTGCCTTTCTGAGGAGCAAACTATCAGCACTGTAAGAACTTTTATTTGCTATTGTTTGATCTTAATAATTTTCATTAGTCTTTTTTACTTATTTCTCTAAGATTCATACCATCTTCAACTTAAAATCATCAGATTCTAAGGCGACCAAGATCTGGGACAGGAAATCGTGCAGTGGACATGATAACAGAGCCCTACAAGTTGACACGCAGATGTGATGTGACTGCAATTCTCATTCTTTACGGCCTGCCGAGGTATTGTTTTAATTCCCAGAATTGCTTTATATGTGACTGCATTACATTTAGTCAACAGTGACTGAATGAAAGAATTGCAATCTTAAATCCTAATAATCTCTTCTTGTTCTTTCTAATTTATCAAATTCTTCCTGTGCTTTAACGTAGCATTCATATCTGTAGCAGTTTTTGCAAATTTTGATTGCTCTCTGTACCTTAAGTAATGTTGATGTATTTGATGCGAACATGTATATCTTGAATTTGTAGGTTGTTAACTGGATCAATCTTAGCCCATGAGATGATGCATGCATGGATGAGACTTCAAGGTGCGTTCGGCTTCCATCATAAGCGGTTAAAAATGTGTTATTTTCCCCATTTAGAGACACTTTGACAAATATGCTGTTTGTTTGTCAGGTTTCCGGACTCTTAGTCAGGATGTTGAAGAGGGTATTTGTCAAGTGTTAGCACACATGTGGTTACTTACCCAGCTTGAATCTGCTTCAAGCAGCAATGCTCCACAGTCTTCATCGTCTGCTTCGAGTAGTAGATTAAAAAAGGGCAAAATATCTCATTTTGATAGGAAGCTTGGGGAGTTCTTCAAGCACCAAATTGAATCAGATGCTTCCCCTGTATATGGAGATGGTTTCAGAGCAGGTCATCAGGCAGTTTATAAATACGGTCTTGGAAGAACCCTTGAACATATTCGGATGACCGGGAAGTTCCCTCACTGAAACCCCAAATTCTCAAACATGTTTCCCTATTCTTTTAGAGAGTTGAAACTGTGCCTTTTCATTTTAGAACCAAAGGCCCCCTTGCACATAGGATAATATTCATGTCTCCGTAGGGTAGTTTTAGAAGCATTGCCAATTTTCATTCCTTGTAGCTGTCAGTGCCATTCTTCATTGTTTTATATAATTAGTTTATTGTTTTTGTACCCTTTTTGAGAACAAAATTATTTAAACATTTCATTTATAAAGAAATTTCGTTTCATGTAAACTGATAACGGCGCCTATTTACATGCGTCTGCTCAAATTTTGGACGTAACTGACACTAGTTTCTCCATGCTCGGTCTGTTGGTTCTTTTGTTAAGCAGGCTACGCTAAATTGAGCCACCCGCATGGAAAACTCTGTCCAGTTGTTGCATAAAGCATAGTATCAATGAAAGAATTGAGATCAGTGTTTGCATCGTCTTATGGAAACCACTGTTTCTGATAGCAGTATTTATCTTCTATCTCGTGTAAGGATTGCATTTTTTCCGGTGATCAATCAGTTCAAAAAACACAACTCCAAAAGCAAAGACATCGATCTTGGAAGTAACCTGCCCTGTCTCTGCAAACTCTGGTGCGAGATAACCTCTAAGAGACGCTGCACTTTTCATTAACCACCGCTCCTGCTAGGCTGAAGTTTTCAGTTTTGGCCCTTAGAGCGCTGTTTAGCAACACATGACTTCTCTTGATGTCCCCATGTACACGAGGCAGGTTTGGTGAAAGTGAAACTGTGAAGATGGTAAAATCCATTGGTTTTTTTTTCACATACTCAAAAACAAGATAGAAAAAGGCCATCATTTTTACACACACCTTGAAGCTTTATCAGATTGAAATGATTGATATTCTTCAACAAATGTATTTCCTTGGATACTTCTCGTCTGTCTCGTCTCAACAAATGTATATTCTTCAACACATGCTCCGAGTTAAAAGACCGAGCCTTGTAGATAAGAACGTTTACATTGGCCCATCTATTTGTCTTAAACCTTCGAATTGCCTCCAAGTTTCCAGTTTAGCAAACGTATAGCCGGACATGAGAGCCCATTGATTTTACCTGTCAAGAGGCCAACAGGACCCAACCAACTTCAAGTCTTCAACTACAGCATCGGCTCTCTATGCCTTCCCCGTTTCGAATTAAAAGAAACCATGGAAACAGTAGTAGCACTTCCTTGCAACAAAATTTTCATATCCCTGGGCTTGTCTTATGACCTCGAAACGCCGTATTTGATTGGCCAAAAATGCTATTATCACTGCATACCTGAGAGAGTCTTTAAACCAATGTTCAGGTGCTTCCGGCTCTACCCTCCTTCCCTACTCTCCCATCTCTACTTCTCACTCATATCCTTCCACGCGTCCTCTCCGCTCTACTGGAAACTCCGGGACGAATACAAACTCAGCCGACCCGAACTCTTCTCACGGATCACCCGACTCCTTGTCCTAGGCCGTTACAACGACCTCTCTTTCGACTTCTCCGATGAACTACTCGATTCCGTTCTCCAAAACCTGAAATTGAACCCAGAAGCTTCTTTATGTTTCTTCAAATTGGCTACCAGGCAACAAAAGTTCCGACCAAACATAACCTCGTACTGCAAAATCGTCCACATCTTGTCCCGAGCTCGTATGTACGATGAAACCAGAGCTTATTTATCCGAACTCGTCGTTTTATGCAAGAACAGTAGCTTTTCTTCTTTAATTTGGAATGAGATCGTCAGGATCTATAAGGAATTTAATTTTTCGCCGTTGGTTTTCGATATGTTATTGAAAGTTTTTGCTGAAAAGGGATTGATTAAGAATGCTTTGTATGTGTTTGATCATATGGGGAAGTACTGTCGTGTCCCTAGTCTAAAGTCATGTAATTGTTTGCTGAGTAATTTGGTGAAGGAAGGAGAAAGTTATACAGCTCTGCTCGTTTATGAGCAGTTGCTTAGGATTGGGATCGTACCCGATGTTTTTACGTGTTCCATTATTGCTAATGCTTATTGTAAGGAAGGGAGATTGGACAGGGCGGTGGAGTTTGTGAAAGAAATGGATAATTCGGGTTTTGAGTTGAATGTGGTTAGTTATAATAGTTTGATTGATGGATTTGTTAGCTTGGGAGATATGGAGGGAGCTAAAAGGGTGATGAAGTTGATGACTGAAAAAGAGATTTCGAGGAATGTCGTTACGTATACGATGTTGGTCAAAGGTTATTGTAAAAACCGTGAGATAGAGGAAGCAGAGAAGGTGATTAAAGAGATGGAAGCAACATTGATGGTTGTGGATGGTTATGCTTATGGTGTGCTGTTAGATGGTTATTGTAAAGTTGGAAAAATCGATGATGCTATCAGGATTCAACAAGAGATGTTGAAAAGGGGACTGAAGATGAATTTGTTTGCTTGCAATTCGATGATCAACGGGTATTGTAAGGTTGGTAAAACTCATGAAGCAGAGAGGGTTTTGAAGAATATGGGTGATTGGAACATAAAGCCAGATTCATATAGTTATAATACTCTGTGAATGGCTATTGTAGGGCGGGCCGTGTGAATGAGGCTTTCAATCTTTGTGATGAAATGCTTCGGGAAGGAATTGAACCACGTGTTCTAACTTACAACACCCTTCTCAAGGGTTTAAGTCGTGCAGGTGCTTTTACTGATGCCCTGCACCTTTGGCATATGATGCTGAAAAAAGGCTTTATCCCGGATGAGGTTGGTTGTTCTACTCTGCTTCAGGTATTTTTCAAGATGGGAGATTTTGAAAGTGCTTTAGGATTTTGGAAAAGAATTTTGGCTAGGGGCTTTTCCAAAATTAGGATTATTATTAATACAATGATTAACGGACTGTGTAAGATTGGGAGAATGGATGAAGCAAAAGAGATATTTGGCAAAATGAAGGAGCTAGGGTGCTTACCAGATGGAATAACATATAGAGTCATGACTGATGGGTATTGTAAAATTGGGGAAATCGAAGAAGCTTTTAAATTTAAAGATACGATGGAAAGTGAAGCAATTATTCTTACAATTGGAATGTATAACTCTCTTATTAGTGGCGTTTTCAAGTCCAGAAAACTGAGAAAATTAGAGGATGTTCTTACTGAAATGCAATCCAGGGGAGTAGCCCCTAATCTTGTTACGTGTGGGGCTCTGATTTTCGGTTGGTGTGATGTAGGAAACTTGAGTAAAGCTTTTAGCATATACTTTGAGATGACAGAGAGAGGGTTTGCACCGGACATTAAGATTTGCAGCAAAGTAGTAAGTTGCCTATACAGGCTTGGCAGGATCGATGACGCAAATATACTCTTGCAGAAGATGGCAGGTACTGATCCTCTTTTAACTCACATGGGTTTGGATAGCCAGAAGACTGATGTTAGTTCCTTAAACATTCAGAAAATTGCAAATACTCTTGATGATAATGCCAAAAGCTTTTGTCTGCCCAACAAAGTTGTGTATAATATTGCTATTACTGGATTGTGCACGTCTGGGAAGGTTGATGATGCTAGAAGATTTTTCTTAGCCTTGCTGCAACGAGGTTTCAATCTCGACAATTTCACATATACCACTTTGATTCATGGATATTCAGTCTCTGGTGATGTCGATGAAGCATTCAGGTTACGGGATGAGATGCTGGAAGTGGGTCTTAAACCGAACATTGTTACTTACAATTCTCTAATAAACGGACTGTAAATCAGGAAATCTAGATCGAGCACGGAGGCTTTTCAATAAGCTTCCATCTAAGGGGTTAGCTCATAATGCTGTTACCTATTATACGTTGATTGACGGATATCTTAAAGTAGGTAAAACGTGTGAAGCCTCCAGATTGACAGAGAAAATGATGGAAGAAGGGATTTCCCCATCTCTAACCTCCAGTTCCGCTTTGGTGAGTGGCCTTTGTGAGCAAGAAGAAAAAGAAAAGTCTGAAAGTTTTGGCTGCTCAGGATTATGTTAAATGTGGAGATATGGAGATAACCGACTCTTCATGCATTTCGTATGCCCGTCCCTCGAATTTAAGCCATTATCAAACAGAACGGAGTTGATAGCATCCTCGGATTCTAAAGCATCAGAGAATGCATGTTTCACATCCGATACTGTGACGGGAGCTCGCAAGTCACAACTAAGGGATTAACTGGGATGGTTTTATCATGGGAATAAATTTGAAGATTGGCCATCCTCGTTTTCTTCTTTATCATTGAAACTCAAGGTTTGGTCTCATATCTTGCGTTCCCTGAAGATTATACATACATGAGATGCTTTAGAGCTTCAAGCAGATCTTTTGTCGTGATGGTATCAAGCACAAGGGACGTCCGTTTCCAATAAACCCATTTTTTAAAATTTGTTATTATTTTTTGTTAGTTCAACATATAAACCCATGTTTTACACGTGATCTGGACTATCTTAGATCGTCTTAACTCAGCTGGAAGCTTATTAAGATTTTAATTGCCGTTTATCAGAATCTGGAAGCTTTGACACATTTTGTAGTTATTTTCAGGTTTTGAAAATGAATGAGTAAACACCCGTTTTTGTCCAGGTTTTATTATAATTATATTTTGTAAGTCCAACCCGAAGCCCAACAAATCCCAATATACAAGCCCACATTAAAAAACCCGGTTCAAGTCCAACAGGAGACCCGACTTAATTACGTCAAAACCCAAAATCTATTAGGGTTTTTGATGGTTTCCAACGCCGCCTTCAACAACAACCCTTGAATCTGAAAGCATCCAACGACCCAAATGTGTTTCCAAGCTTAGGATTTTAACCGTAAATGTCAACAGCCGCTGCCAAGATCAAAATCTGGCCGTTCGATGATGCGCCCGTGATGCACGTGCCAGCCTTCTGTCTTCCCCCGTCGTGTGAGCTGTCACCGAAGCTCCATGCCGCCGCTGTCATCACTCTGACACTGTATTTCAGCCATCCATCAACCCAATCAGTCACAAGTTAGAACCAAAGTAAAAAAACCTCAATTCAAATTAATTAAAAAAAAAGTCATAATTGTTTTTTTAAAACTTAATTGTTTTTTTTAAATGGTTATGACAGAATGTATGTATCAGAAACGAAGTCAAAACTTAGCTTAAATACACATTGACAACATATATTTTTGGGTATTTAGCACACACACTACGTGTTTAGGAATAAAAATTGAGCAGAACTATAATTGATGTTTAGCAATAAAAGTCATTTCATATCGTACTACGTCAATTTGTCTTCGATTTTACTTTAGACAGATTTATTTTGGAAATTAACCAAACTGTACTTCAGTTATTGTCGTGTCAAAACATGGTTAAATTAGGGGTATTTGTTGTTTTTTTTTTTAAATAAAATATTTATCGTGAAAAATTATTCAAGGAATAAAGTGAACGATATAGAAGTTGAGGATAATTTTTTCTGCGCCTCCAGACGAGCTAAAACCCTTGCCAGGGGCGGATGCCAGAGGTGATGGAGTTTTGATAATGTAATTCTTCACGTTGCTCGTTGTAATACCCAAAAGAAAAAAAGATATAGTGAGTTTAAAGATTAAATTTTAGTAATTGAATTGTAAATATACTATAAATTTTGAAATACCATTATTGTATGAGATACAATTTTTTTTAGATTTATGACTATAATTTTTAAAATAATTATAATTTATAATTATTAATTAAATTTTATTGAGTATGTCGATTAAGATTGTAAATGAGGTAAGATAGATCTTGAATGTTGACATAAAAAGGTGACGTGTAATATTCATGGATTGTGCATGACTCCATGTGGTTGCCTGAGCATGGCTCCTTGTAGATGGTGTGAGGGTTGTTAGGTGGTTAAGGTTAACCCAATTGTTTATATAATCTAGTTTTTCTAAAAGTAATGTATCTTTCCGGATCATTAAAAGAAAAAGTTGAGAATATAGAGAAAAGTCAATATGGTATCATAGTATAATAGACCTGATATTTCATATAGCGTTGGTTGTATGGCTTAGTATATGCATTAATTTGTTAGTTGCATTAGTTGGGGTGTGTAAAATTACCCGACCCGGTTGATTCGACCCGTCGACCCGGATATAAAATATCGGGTAATTCTCTAAAAAAAATTACCCGGCCGGGTAGGGCCCAAGTCACAAAATATAGTTTTTTCGGGTATCCGGTTACCCGAGTACCCGATTAGTTTTTATTTTTTTTATTTTTTATATATAATTATATAAAATATAATGAATTATTTATATTATGGATTATTATATTTTGTATTTCGAACTTTTAAATTTTATGTTCGGATATTAGAGTATGTAATTCGAAGTTTCGAACTTTTAAATTTGTGTATATTTTTTTAAATTAATAATTTGAAAATAAAAAATTAAAAACTAGGTATCGGGTACCCGGGTACCCGCAAAATCTGGGAACCCAATTACCGGGTACCCGTAACATCCGGGTCGGGACATGGGCCGAGAAATCGTCGACCCGGAAGTTACGGGTACCCGAAAATCCGGGTAACCATATTTGCACACTCCTAATTGGCGGTAAAGTTTATCTTGCGTATCTATCTACTATTTTAGATTATGGTCTAGTGTTTCGAGCATCTTCGAGTACCTTTCTGCTACATACTTTATTTGTTGTGGATTGAGCTAGCAACAATGAATATCTATAATCAGTTTCGTGGTGCTCTTAGAAATAAAAGTTTTTGTATCAATACACAATTGAGACGAAGTATCGTGAGACTACTGACGTGGTGCTTGAAATTGTTTGACTTCGTTCACTTTTTACGGATATGGATGTTAAGTGTTATGATGTTCTCGTTCTCTGGTGTGATAACACAAGTGTAGTTGTTATGAGTGTCAACCCATTGTTTCATATCTGTTATAAACACATTGAACTTGATGTTCATTTTTTGGGAGAATGTTGCGAATGGTATGGTTTGTGTCAATTATGTTCCTGGCCAATATCAATTTGCTGATGAATTTACTAAATCTCTTTCAAAGACTTATTTTCTTGTTTTTAAGCAGAAACTTAATGTTATTGGTTATATTGATTTTAAGGGTTAATGTTGAAACAAAATATTAATGTGTAAAATTCATGCATTGTGCATGACTCCATGTAATTGTTTGGACATGATTCCTTGTAGATTGTGTCAAGGTTATTAGATGGTTAAAGGTTAAGCCAGTTGTTTACAATTGGATTTTGTTAGTGTGATTAATATATATAATATAGTTTTATTAAAAGTAATGTATCTTTTTAGACCATTAAAAGAAAAATATGAGAATATAGAGAAAAGTCAATATGGTATCAGAGCATACTAACATGATATTTCATATAGCGTTGGTTGTGTGGCTTAGTATATGCATTAACCTTGTCAGTTGCATTGGTTGGATGTAAAGTGTATCTTGCGATGTCTATCTAGTACTTTAGATTATGATATGGTGCTTCGAACATCTTCGGGTACCTTTATGCTACATGTTTTATCTGTTGCGGATTGAGCTAGCAACACTGATTATAAACGACCAGTTTCAGGTTATTGTGTTATCTTGGTGATAATCTCACTGATACTACCTCAGTGGTACTACCTAGGCTATTTCCCAAATACAATTTCTAGGTTATGGGTGTTGAGTTATGAAATATTTATGGTTTAGATGTTAGGATACCTTGTTCATTAGGTTGGTAAGAATACTTTTCATTTTCCCCTATTACAGTCACTTATATGGGCATTTTACCATCTACTTTAGAAGATTCATGCTTACTTATCTGTTCATTATCTTTCTTCTCATTGTTGGGACTTGACTCTTCTTCAGATGTTTCATCCCCTTCCTTGCTTTTAAGAATCTTCAATATGCTTTTTAGATACTCTAGTTACTCAGTTAAGCCTGATTCCACGTTGAACAATCGTTATTCTTTCTCCTCCCATCACTTTGGGACTAGTATCATCTTGTAAGCCCTCCATTTGCTTTTGGATATCATTCACTTATTGTTGAATGACAACTAAGGTTTGTTCCTCTGTCATGGTATGCGTTTTCTTTTGTTTACCTAATTTTCTTGATCAAGAACTAGGCTTTGATTATCAATTTGTCACGAATTTGAGATAATTTTTGAAATTAAAGAACGTTTGCATAAAGGATTATAGAGAGAGACGATGGTTTTGAGAAAAAAAAAAGACATCAATTCATTCATAAGATTACCCCTTAAGGTTGGGTACAACATTATATATTCATGCGTTCTAGCCTTCATGTTACATTCCCTATCTTGAATGCATATTGGATAAATAAGAAATTCAAAGTATTGGAAACGAATTTAGAACATATTGAGAAATTGGTAAGATTCTTGATTTTTAAATTCAAGATAGAATATTGAATATTAAGGAGAGTTATAGTGATATAAGTTGTCTAGAAGAAGTGTAGTTAAATTTAAAGGGCTAAAAGGAGGTTATATAAGAAGAATTAAGTAAGTTTGGGTAATTTTTTGTGCTTAAAATGTGATTTTTGGGTTAGGGGTATCGGTACCCATTCAAAGGTACCGATACCATCTCAAACGAAAAATTACAGAATGCAATGAGGGTATTAATACCCTAAGGAGGGTATCGATACCCCCTAAAGGAAAAATATGAATATTTGTTTATTAAGTTTGTTTAAGTTACTAGTATCAAATTACATGGTGTATGTATCAAATTACCCCCTAACGAGGGTGTTGATCCATGTAGGTGTCCTTCGTGTTAGCCATTTCCTCCGTGAGCTCAGTATTCTTTAAGGCTGGAGTTGCTTCATTGGATGATTCATAACGCGTTCTGGCCTTCATGTTACATTCCCTATCTTTATTATAATTCTTATTATCATCGCCCAGTCCACCAGCAATAACTTCCTTTGACCACCCATTTTCAGATTCTCCCTTTTACATTTTAATTCTCAATTTCGTTGCGATCCCTAATTGTTCACGATTCTCTCCCAATTCTTCTCTTCTAAACCTTAATTTAAGTCTCTATCGTGATAGTAATGTACCATTTTCATATCATTAAAAGAAAAAAATTGAGAATATTAAGAAAAGTTAATATTAAAATACTCGAGATAGATTAGGTCAAAGTTCAATAAATACATTTGAATGGACTTGAGTCGAGCTTGACTCGAATTTTTAATGAACTGAAATGTGTTATATGATACTCGACTTGAAAAACTCGCGAGCAACTTAAGTTTGAACTTAAGGCTTTAATCGGGTTAAGTTTAAGATATTTTCTATTTTTAACTTTTGCTATACAGATTTTGATTGGAGTAATCACCATACACGAGCCCATCATCTGGGCTTTCTTCTCCTTATTGTTATGACAGGAAAAAAAAATCCTTGATGTTTACAGTGTAATCGTTCTTGCAAAAAGGAAGAGTAAAGATTAATTGCAGTACATATAATGTAATACCTGTAATAATCTTCAATCGCCCATTGCTCTCTCTTCACTCAGCACCATCATCGGCTAGAAATCTTTACAGCTCCACCATTTCTTGACGATTAAGTCACTTTCTCGGCAAACAAACACTTGCCCAGAAAAGTTGGTATAGTTAAACCAATTGAAATCCAGCAGCAAATTAACAAGCGTTTCCCATTTGTTTCAAATTCAATCAAGAATCCAAAGCAAATGGTGATTGCAGGAGATCATAAGGTGCCCATAAAGCGTCCAGAGGGCATGGCCTATTAGCATCAAGCCTCGCCCATGGTTTCCCTTTTCCACTCCAATGTAAAAGACTAACCGGACCTGGATGCAAATCTCTGCACAAACCTCTATAATTATCGCCCCCGAGGCCATGCTGGTTCCATCTGTGATCAACCGGCACTATATTTCCGGCGAAAACTAATAAAAAAGGTGGCAAAGAACCCAATTCGTAAATCCTCATTCTTTTTTGAAGCTCCATCCATTCTTCAATCTTCGTCGTGTAATCTCCGTCTCTCCATCGATCAAGGTCGATTACCATAACTCCAGTGTTGAAGTAACAGGGTTTACGGTTAGCGAAAGTCAAGGATAAAGAAGGGGTTTGACCAAAACGTTGGAGTAAAGTAGGCCGTGAAGTTTGCATTGCAATGCTCAGGTGCAGCCAAGACTGAGTCGTCTCCGAGTGGGGTTGCGGCGAGTTTAGCTATGTCATCGACGAGAACCAGGTCTGAGTCAAGATACACGACTCGGCGGACGCATAAAGGAAGGAGATTGGCTAAGTAGCTTCGAGCGTAGTTCAAAGGGCAATCCAGAGCAGAGCGGATGGAGGTCGAAATGAGACGCGAAACAGACGAGTTGTCGAAATAGTAGACTCGGAAGTTGAGGTAAGGGAAGGAGGAGGAGATGGTGGCGCGTAAAAGCGACGCGTTGGAAGTGGCGGAGGCTACGAAATGGAAGGCAATGTTCTGAGGACAAGAGGAGTGTTGAAGTACCGAGAGAATAGCCGCCATGGATCCCCTGATGTAAGATGTGTCAAGGGTCATTGCCACATGAACCGCTTGATCCGAGCACAAAACGGAATCCTCGCCATCCGATCCATCTTCATCAACAATTACCGGACAATCCGGAGAATTATAGAACTGCGGGGCTTCCTTGAATTGTTGGGGTGTCGGTGTAGCGACGGTGGGTTTAGCGGCTAAGGCAATGAGCAATAGGAGGAGAAACTCAAAGACCGGTGATTTACTCATTAGTGAAAAGGTTGTTGGCCAATTGGTCTTTTGGAGAGGATTTTAAAAGGGGGAGGAGACAGCTGCAAATGGTGAGAATAAGGTTACCGAAGAGGAACCTTTAAGGGTGGGCCTAACCAAGAATTTTTGAGTTCACATTGGTTCTAGATTTTGTTTTGTATAATTATAATGTCTTCAAACTATATATATATTCAAAAGGGCACCCACTATGGTCCTACATCTTTTTCCATCAACTCTCAAAAGGGTACCCTTAATATTTCTTTTAACGCTGAAAGCATATTCCAGTCACCGACAATGTCTCAAATCAGAGTGGTCATGAAAGTCGGCCTAAATGAGCTGCCATGCACATGCTTCAATCATATATCTGTTCCCCCCCATCAAAAGTCATTCCAAAGTAATAATAGACGTACGGTCTCTCTTCCACGTTTCAGTTCTGTACAAGACGAACGATGGGTCAAAACTTGAACCCCTCTAGAATAAATGAAAATTATTCAGAGTTGAAACTCTGCGTACCCTGATTTAATTTGTAGGTGTCCCAATATGAAGCATCGGTAATCTTAGGCCAAGCTTATCCATTTCAACCGCAACAGCTAGCACAGAAACTGCTCGATACTATATCACACAGCGACAATGATGGTCAGTTAATGCTAGGGCATAGGAAAATGGAAAACATAATCCAGATTCCACACCTGCCCTACCCTATATTGATCAAGGCTTTCTTAACTTCTTACACGTTTTTTGTCTGTGTGAAATTCGTGACATTATATTTTTCATGGATTTTCCCCACGGATAAAGTAAAAAAAGAATTTACGGATTAAATGAGCTATAGATAAATATAATGAAAATCAAATAACATTGGATTTTTATGGTACAAGGACATTTAAAAAAGTAGTTGACAAGACGAGAGAACGAAAGCTTTCATATCTGTGCATGTTCACCAGGTCCCAACTGTAGGCCGAGCAACCCATTCGCTTAAAGCTTTTATAAAAATCTTGAAACTAGTGGATCAGATCAAACCATGAGGCTGCTCGAATGCAGCCATTTCAGAACCACATGTTAAACATGAAACCGATACATATCCAATAAGCATCTTGAATAGAATTAATACATGAAGTAGAATAAGCGTTGATGAAGTACAGCCAAATCATGTAGTAATGAAACCAGTCTGTTATGAACCTTTATATGGCTTAACTCTGCAGCAGGGGTCCTTGTAGGGTTAGATTTTAGATAGAATATTAAAATTTCTTAAAGGTGATTAAGAAGTAGGGTACTGAGTTATCGTCATCGAGTCTGCCCAAATGAAACACTTGAACGGTTGTTGGGAGCCTTTGTTTTGCATGTGTTAGGTTTCCCCCTGTTCCCATCCTACGCCATTATTGCATCACTTGTTCTCTGTCTCAGCAAAAATTTGTGGTCAGGGTTAGAATTATAATGTTAAAAGAGGTTATGGTTAAGGGAGATAGCTTCTGCTGTCTCCTTGTCAAAAACAAACATGGCAATGTCTGCAGGAGTTTGGATTCTGTTGTTTTTTTTACTTTGATTGGGTTTGTTAACTATCAATTCACCCTAGGTCAGACGAGCTTTGTTCAGCTGTGAAAATATGCAAGACATCAAACCCGCTGGGAAATTTGTCATGCTTGGTTTGAAGGTAAGTGGTAAGAAAACAAAGTTGTTTTTCCAAACTGAAAATGGAAAATGATGAAGTGTTACCTGGCATAGGTGGTGATTCAAGTCCAGATATGAGTGCAAACAATACAGTACCATGGCCGAAAACATGGAAACAAAAAAGGAAAAAATTTCTGAAAGTATGATCAATTGAGTTAAATAGAGTTTAGAGAGGGTGATTATGGATTAATTAAGAGAGGTTATGGGGGAAATAGTGGTGGGAAGTGTGGTGGTGGTGGTTAAGTGGGCTTGTTCAGGTTGCTCTGATGTTGGCCCCGTGGGCGGGAATAATATTGGTAATTTTTTTTCCAATTTTGTTCACGTAAAGATAGGACACATTTTATATCTTTTGTGACCAAATTTGATGGGGGTAGTGGAATCGAGCCGGCCTAATATAAATACGATAACGCTGTATGTAGGTTCTTACATCATCCCAATTCCTCTACAATCAAATCACTCCAAGTCCTCTTCCCATTTTGCTCAATCTCCCCTTCCTCGAAAAGCAACAATGGCGATTTCCTCTGGGGTTTATTTTCTTTTTCTGCTGAATCTCTTCTCGTTTGGTAAATATATTCTCTTTATTAGCATTACTACATTTTTCTTAGCTCTTCCTTGTTTGTTTGTTTTGTGTAACAAAAGGCTTTATCTTTTCCATTGAAAATCTAGTACTTAGAAATAACATCTGCTCGACTTTGCTTGTAACGACGGTTTCAGGGATGATGTTTTCTTCAGCTACTCTTTTTACAGTAGAAAATCGTTGTAAATTCACCGTATGGCCGGGTTCTCTGACGGGAAACGGACCTGCTCTTGGTGAAGGTGGTTTTGCATTGGTACCTGGTTCATCATCCCAACTCCAGGCTCCACCCGGTTGGTCCGGTCGCTTTTGGGGTCGAACGGGCTGCAATTTTGACAACTCTGGCGCTGGTAAATGTGTAACCGGAAACTGCGCTGGTGGCTTAAAGTGCACAGGTGGTGGTGAGCCGCCCGTTTCCCTGGTGGAGTTCACTCTTAATGGAAGCGATAATAAGGACTTTTATGACGTCAGTCTGGTGGATGGTTACAACCTTGGCTTAGCAATCAAGGCAGTTGGTGGCGCAGGTAGTTGTCAACACGCAGGTTGTGTCAAGGATCTCAACATAGATTGCCCTGCCGAGTTACAGATGTTGGATTCAGGTTCCGTTGTCGCTTGTAAAAGCGCCTGTGCGGCCTTCAACACGCCAGAATATTGCTGCACCAATGACCATGCTACGCCTCACACATGCTCACCCACCAAGTACTCGCAGTTGTTCAAGAATGCCTGTCCCACGGCTTACAGTTATGCATACGATGATGCCACCAGTACCATGACCTGTATCGGGTCGGATTATGTGATCACATTTTGTCCAACCGAGTCGTGAACATGACCCATGGTTTGTCCAACCGAGTCATGAACATGACCTATGGTTTAATTTGGTATTGCTTGCTTAAACTTGATTGGATTGTAAGGTTTGAAAGTTATAAATATTGAAATGAATGGTTTGGTCCTTTACTTGAGAGTTTGTGTGAGATATAAAGATTGTGGTTAGTTACTTAGTTTGTTTGGTGGGAAAGCCATTATTGTGTATGAATATGAAACCACCTTTTTTATTAAGTTCGTTCAATTAAAAATGAAATATAAAAAATTAAATTAAATATTATTTTTTAGTTTTATATTATAAATATTGAATTTATACCTTATAAACTACTTCATATGTTATTAAAACTTACGGATTATTTCAATTATTTTGTTTAAGTTTGGATATATTATTCTTTTCAATGTGATACTATAATGTTTTTTGGATGCATTATTTTTAAGTTATGTTTAAAATTTTAAACAAAAATTGAATGTTTTAGTCACATCGCTTAATTAAATAATTTTATTGTCCGAAAAAATAAATTTTTAGATCTCGAAAATTATAATTTTTTAATTTGACAAATACAACAACAATTAAAAAAATCAATTATAAAATAATTTGATAAATAAAAAATTCACGAAAATACAATTTTTTTAATTTTAAAAATAAATTGTTTTCATATATTTTTAGAAAATTGTGAATCTTCCTACTTAAAAATATTGGGAAAATATCAACAATGAAATTTTAGTTATAATTAAGGTAGAAAATAAGATATTTCTTATTAATTTTTTCATGCTACGCCACCCTCTTAATAATATTTAACGACGATGTGCATTTTTTAATAAAATTTAAAGTTTAATGTCTAATTTGTAACTTTTAAAAATGTAATGGCCAATATAATCAATTTAGAGAAATGTAATGAACATTTATAAATTTTATCCTATTTTAAATTAACGGTGCAAATCAATGTCTATCATTAGTAGTGAATATCGATATGTGACATACTCTATACTCGTCCTTTACTTTATTGTTTAACATTATTATGAATAAGTGTGCAATGAGTGACATTCATTGAAATGCACCACTAATATGAAATAAGGTAAAAATTCATAAATAGTCACAACTTTTTTTAAATTGATTTTATTTAGCATTGATTTTTCAAAGCTACAAAATAGACATTAAACCTTAAACTTTGTTAAAAGTAAATTAATAACAATCGTTAAATGTTATTAAGGGGTTACATAATATATTAAATTAATGAAAATATCTTATTTAGCCCCTCAATTAGAAATAAAATTTCATTTTAATATTTTCAACGTTTTTAAGTAACAATTCTAAAATTTTAAAATTTTATATTTTTTTAAAAAATATATGAAAATAAATAATTTTCAAAATTAAAAAATATTTCAAAGTTTTTAAGTAATAAATCTATAAAGTATCGATACTTTTTAGGCGCTATTATTGAAATTTTTTAAAATTCCAAAATAACCGATAATTTGGTGCATATGCTTAGAAAAGTATCGATACAAATTTCAATAATTCAGGTATTTCTACCGGTTTTGTCAAATTGAAACTGATTTCGTCAAACTTCAACCTTTTTATATTGTTATGTATCGATACTTATTTGCAAGGTATTGATATCTACCGACAAGCTAAGTTTGTTGGTTACCAATTTTTTTAATATTTCTTCATGATTTCCACCTACAACATTATTATTACTCAATGTTTCTGGTAGCGCTAAACCAAATTTGTTAAGTATCTTATTATGTTTCCGGTAATGCCGTATTTTATTCCGCCTTTTCTGAGACAACTCCCCAACCCAGGCTTCAAGTCTATCCTTTACAAACTGTTTTGTGGGCATTTTTCTCACTACAAGTGTCATTCACTTTCAGTCAATGCATAAAACATTGGCAAGTGTTTGGCGCCCTTTGGGGGAAGTAGCCATCTCTGATATTGGTGAATGAAGGTTCTTATTTTGTTTTTATCACGAGGTTGATATGGATAGTGTAATGCCCGAAACCCGGGTTTGTAACACCTTAGACCAGTACACCACACAGTCGACCGGTGTAGGATGCCACACGAAACCACCGAAATGGCTAACAAACTTTAAACTTACTTTCTCCTGCTTTAAAATGACCATAAAATAAACTGAATATAATAAAAATCTTTTCACTGATTAGCTCCAAAATAAAATATTTACACTTCAAAAATATTACAGACCAACATTACTGAATATACGACTCAACTGAACAATAATGTTTACAAATATACAAGCCCAATAAAAACGCTGAGACGTTACATCTGATATGCACAGGACTGGTCTGGACCTTGGTCTATATACTGCTTCCCAACTGCTTGATCTACTAACCTGCCCACGGAAACATCCGTTAGCTCAATGCCACACTAACGGATAAAACATACTAACTGCATCACTGAAAAGCTCAAACTATCAAGTCTACTGGTATAACGTCTATTGCTATCTGTTCTAATGTTTATTCTGTTCTGTTCTACTAGCCCACTTCTTGAGTGTTGGACCTTGTGCCCAAGCTAGTCTGCTTTAAAACTACTTTAGTGAGTATTCTCGAATTCTCACTCTCTAAGCTATGGTATACATCATGGTGTGGCTAAGGGTTATGCATCTCGGAGCTCACACACCCCTCTAGTCTACCCTAGATATGGCCCCCCGAAAGTCTCTGCATCGAAAACCATACCCCCGCCTAACCTGCCCTTTCTTCTAAAAAGTGTTAAGGCCCCGACAAACATAGTTAGTCAGAAGGGCCTCGACCCTACATAAGGATATCCTGACCGAATCTATACTTTCGACTCTGTTATCTTTTCTAAATGAACTCGGGTGTCCTAGTCGTTTTCCCTAGCATTCAAACAAAGCTAGTCTTATTTCACCCTACTTTATTCTCGTATCTACATTTGAATTAAACATTAATAAATGTTCTCACCTGTAGTCTTATTTGAGAGAAATTATAAACTTTTGGAAACCTCACTTACCTCTATACTTTCTCTTGACTTAAAGCCTATTTCTCAACCTTGGTATCAATACTAGCCTTATAGTATCGATACCATGGCTTGCCTCTACACTTACTTGTGTTTTAAAGCTCAAACCATACCCTTGGTATCGATATTGGCCTTATAGTGTCAATATTCCCTCTGCAGTATCGATACCCTTCCTAAGATATCGATACCCCTATAACTATTTCATCCATTTTAACCCAACTTTAAACACCTTCTATATCTGTTTTACATCTATTTGATCCCATTTGTGGTCATATTATGGGTCTAGGGCCTCTCGGGTAACGTTTTGACCAAAACAAACTGAAAGTATCGATACTAGACCAAGAGTATCGATACTTATGTAAAAGTTTCAATACTTTATATAAGTATCGATACTTTTAAACATTCTGTTCTGCCCAGTTTTGAAACTTTCTGGGAATTTCGAAAGTATGACCCAAAGTTTCGATTTTCCTGCCTAGAAACTCAAGAAATCATAAAACAAGTACGAAAAACTATATTTTTCAATCCCCAAATACCTTAGTGAGGTTCCCAAACATGCTTAAAGTTTTATTTGATCAACAAGGGTCATAATAGAGGCTTATTAACATGCTTATAACATCAAAAGAACAATCTACCATGAAAATTGCTAAACATGCTTTAAATTTAACTTTCTAACACATCTTAATTTTCCTTGATCTACACTTGATATGAGAAAGCTATAAGTGTGTTACTTTATTACCTTGGCTGCTAAAACACCTCTTGAATCAACTAGGATTTACCTTAACTTTAAGAAAAAATCATTTTGAAAACAAAATCTAAAACTCACAAAACGGAGCTTGAAACAAAGCTTGAAGGATAGAGAGAAAAATTATCACCTTGGCTACAACAAACTAAACTTGAATCTTTAAAACTTTGCTATTAAGAAAGGAAAAAGAAAAGAGGAAATGATGAAGAAGAATATATGAGTGTTTGGTTGGAAAATGGTGGGAGTGGTTCATGTAAACATGATATAAAAATGGGAGAGTTTGTAGATTTAAAATAATAAGGGAAAATTGCATTATCCCATCTACTTTCTCTTACATAAAACACTAATCACCTATCACCCAATCATTTGGGCCTACCCAAGCCCGCTAACATTAAATTTGGTCCAACTGATTTATAAAGTCTTTTGGGCTCAAATTTGGGTCTCGAGTTAACCCGAACTACTAACTCAGAATTTGGAGAGTTATAGCGTTAGTAGTTTAGGTCAATTCAAGACCCATTTTAGAGCCTAAAATAATTATTAAAAATATCTTAGACCAAGGCTAAGTGGATTTGGGTTGTGTTGAGCCCAAAAGACTTATGTAAGTCATATTCATATGGGCTTAAAAGTATAAGGACCTAAAGTGTAATTTATCTATTTTATTTCAGCTGAAAATCTTCCCCTTGTTTTTATATTTTTAAGGTGAACCAAACCCAAAATTATCTTACCAAATACTTAAGGATGATCATGAGTCGGGTTGGATCGGATTTTTGGTTCACCCAACCCTACCCGAGAATAAGGAATTCTCCACCCGAGATCCGACCCGACCAAAACAAGATTCCACCCAACCTGAACTCGACCCGATATATAACTTAAAAATTTAACCCGACCCGACCCGAAATAATAAAAAAAATATTATTTTTATTTAATAAAAAGTGACTTAATTGAAATATATATATATATATATAAAGGTATTATTGTAATTATTCCTAAATATATAAAGTAAAAGTATATATTTTTTTCGGGTCGAATCGGATATTTTTCCCCTTAAACTCAAACCCGACTGGAACTGTTGAGTTCGGTTCCATGCCCACCCCTACAAATACTCGTCCATTTTCATCCTAGCAATTTTCATTGCCCGCGACAGTGCTGGATTAATCTTGGGCTCTGATTTTCGCCACAACGAGAATGTCCATAGCAGTTTTGCGGCGGAAGCCTTGGCAGTGATTCAAGGCTTAGGTTTCGCTCTCGATATGGGTTTAAACAAAATTGAGCTAGAAGGGGATTCCAGGGCCGTGATTCAAAAAATAAACTCACCTTCTGAGGATTTCTCTGTCATCCGCCCATTTACCTCTGATGCGAGAGCTATGGCAAGCCATTTTCAGTTCTGCACTTTCAACTTTGTGCCGA